AGTTATTCCAGCTAACAAACAATAAGCAAATTGCTTTTTGATTTAATTTGCTTTAGACATAGAAAAATAAAAGAAAGATCTTTAAATAAAGATTAACTATTTTTTTCAAATATCGTAAATAATTAAAAAAGAAAGAAGTTAATAATCATTTTTGAATTAATTTTCATAATCATATAATCAGTTATTGATTTAATCTATTGTCCATACTTTTTTTGATTTAACAATACATTGTTGTATTTAATTTTAAGGAAAGTTTTATAAATTTCATCAATAATACTAACTCATTCATTACTAAATTGTACTCCAATATCTATAGAGTCAGTGGTACTAACTAAAAGTATATTTTTATCTTTATAAGCTTTAAATTCTTGAAAATATAATGCAGGTATATTTTTTTCACTAACAAGTGTAGATAAAATACCTTTTTTTGAAATAGGAATAAAATAGCTTTTACAAATATAAGACAGATTATATAGATGTTAACTAAATCAAAGAAAATTTCAAAAACATTTACTAAGTCTGTACCTACAAAGATACAAATATTTTTAAATCTACAAGTTGACTGTATAATCCTTTCTTCCCTTTTGAAATATGTATTCAATTATATTAGATTAATCATAGTTGATTTATTTTTTTTGCTCTTCTTCCTTAAATTTTTTCTATTTTGATTTTTCTATAATTATTTTTAAATTTAAATTATCTGAGTTATATTTACTATTATTTCTATTTTACCTTTTAGACATTATGAATCTTTTTTTTTGTAATTTAACTTATTCTAAACCTTCTTATTTATTTTGGTTGTTATTTTCATATAATTTTTTTGCATTTCTTTCCTTTGAATTCTATTACCTCTTCTCTAAACCTTTCACATTTCCTTACTTTTGTTTACTCTCTTATGTTTCTTATAGAATTTTTGTATTTCTTTTATATTTTTCTTTGTTATTTTCCTTTAATGATTAATTTTAATTTTTATAATATTTATATTCTTCAAGTACCAATGAATAAACAAGAGATTGAATTATAGTTTCATAAAGATAATTAAAAATAGAAAAATAAGTAATGGAATTAAACCATTATTTTATTTTGATGATTTCAGCATTAAAAGTTGTATTTAATAAATACATAATATAAATAATAATATTTTATTCTTATTTTTTTTAACAAACTCATTAGATTATTGGTTTCACATTAAAGTTATTATTATTGAATATTATTGAAATATTTGTTTTAACTTATATCATATATCTATACAAAGAATAAATAAATGAAATATCGAATAATTTCTTATAAAAATTATATAAAAAATAAAATAATGTATTGTATATTGAAATTATCAATAAAATATTGAAAATAAAATAATGACAATAATTTTATTATTTTATATTAACTGACTTTTTTTATTTAAATGTATGTTATTTCATTATTTCTTTCATTTTTTATTATTTTCATTTATTTACAATATATAATTGTATCATTTTGTATAGTATTGATGATTTATATTTATTTGTAATGTTTTGTTCAATATAAAAACAAAATACTAACAAACAACAATAGAATAACTTCATCCATAATACACAATGAAATTATATATGAAATGATGATATTATTAGTTAATTAAAAGAATAAATAAACACATGGTATGAAAGAATAGAGAGAAAAAACCAAATAATAATATGAAATACATAAATTTCTACCAAATTTGAGTAAAGAAAATAAATAACAATGAAAGAAATGATGAACAAAAAAATAAAATAATTGAATTGTTAGGAAGTATTAACAATTCATATTTTCATTAACCAAAGACTTCTAAACCATAAAATGATTTAATTCACTTTAATAGAATAAGTTAATTGAAACTCTATTTGGTTAATAGTTAATTTCTAACACACAAACATCAAACAAATATAGGATATGACTAAAAAGAATAATAGAAATTGAAGAGCAACTAAAATATACTTCATTTCTAATAATTGAATACAATTGTAATATATTTATTGTTTATATTTGTAGTATTAATTATTCTCTAATATGTCTACTTCCCACAATGGAGATATTATATTTATTTCTTTATGATTTGTAATTGCTTCTTTATTTCAACTCCTTTTATATTCTTTCTAATTTTTCTTCTTTTATTTGACTAGTTACTTTTCTATTAAATAGTTTACTACAAAACAGTTATTGAGTGTAAAAATTTATTACAAATTAAAAAAGAAAAAACAGATGAAAGGAAAAAAGAAAAAAAAAACATCAAGAAGAGAAGTAAAAACAAAACTAAAAAATAAGAAAACGATAAAAATAGATTATAAGATTCGCCTTTAAACTATAAAAGAAAACATTAATAGATTTGCAAAAAGTACTGAATAAACCAAATAATAAAAAATGTCTAAAACACCGAGAGAAAGAGCAGGAAGAGAACCTAGAATGGGAAAAGTAGGAATGCTTACCATTCAATTTGAAGATTGTAAAGATGGTGCATTAGGATATATTGTATGTGATGTTGATCATTTGACATACATTACTACCAAAAAGAAAGCAAGTAAAACATTAAAGATAGATGAAACATTATATTTTCCAATAAATAGTGCAAGACCAAACATTCATTTCTTTTTATATAAACCACGTTTAATTGGAAGTAAATGTGTTGGATTTTATCAATTAAATATGGCTGATATAAAAGAAAGTGATCAAGAATTACATTATGTTCAAAGTATAAAGAAACCTAAAAACATTCTTGAACCAGATATTGGAGAAGTTAGACCACCTGAAGAAACTGGAATGGGAAATGATAAAAAGAAAAAAAAGAAAGAAAAAGTATTACCACAATTTAAAGTTTCAATGAAATTTACACCAGTTCCAGTAGAAGAAAAAAAATTAGATGGAATTGTTCTTGAAGGAGAATGGAAAAAAGGATTTGATGCAGGAAATATTATTTCTAATCCTAAATGGTATGAAAATCCACAATTTTTATTAACATTAACAGGAAAATTACATATTAAAGTATGTTTAAAACAAGATAATATTAATAATAGAGTTACATTCTTTATTGTTAAATATGATCAAGTATTCTATGAAAATAGACCATTAACTTTATTTGATCCAAATGAAGTTATTAAAATAGATGAAAATTTCTTAAATACTATGGCTTCTGATAATATTGAACATTCATTTGAATTAGATGCTGGTTCTTATGTTATTATTCCAACTAATCTTAATAGAATTTCTAGTATTAATCCAGAACCTTATCATGGTAAATTCCAAATTGCTGTTTCAACAGAACATATGGAAGCTATTGAATTTATTCCAATTGACTATAATAAAGAATGGAAATTCTTTGAAGATAGTAAAAAGTGGACACAAACTAGTAATGGAGGAGCTGATAGAGGAAGTCCATATGAATTTTATCATAATTATCAATATGTAATTGAAACTAAGAAAGACACTAAAATGTCTATTACTATGGAACAACCTGATAATAAAAATAAAATTGGATTTTATCTTTTTGAAACTAAACAAACTGATAGAAAAGAAATTGACTTTGGTGAATTGGTTGAAGAAACTACAAATTTGATTTCAAATGTTTGTGTTGGAAAGAATTTTAAATTAAGAGAAGGAAAATATATTTTAGTTCCATGTACCTCAGAAGCTGGAGAAGTTGGAGAATTTAAATTAAAGATTTATTATGAAGAAGAAGATGTTATAATTAAAGAATTAACAAAAGAATGGTCAAATATTGTTTCAGTTAATGGTGAATGGAAAGAAGGAACAGCTGGAGGAAGTGTTGATGATCCTGATTCATTTGTAACAAATCCACAATATGTTATTAAAGCAAAATACAATAAAGAAGAATGTAAAGACATTATTATTTTATTATCACAATTTATTGGAGCATCAGGAAAGATTGAAAGTATTGGATTACCAGTATTTGTTAATCTTGAACAAAAATTAGATGCTGATGATATAAATGAAGATAATTTAGTTAATTTACCAGAAGCATGGGTAAGAAATAGAAATGTATTTACTTGTTTTGAAGTTGATGAAGAAGATGGATTAGAAGTTATTGTTATTCCATCAACAATGAAACCAAATACATTTGCTAATTTTAAAATTACAATTTTAACTGATGTGAAAGATGTTACAATTGAAGCATTAGAATAAATTTAATTTCTTTCATTTTTCAATATATTTTTAATGATTTTATTTTAATAAATAGTTTATTTGAATAAAAAAGAAGAAAAATAAAAAAACCCTAAAACAGAAATAAATTAAATAAATAATTATTCATGCAGAATCAACAAAGAAAACTTGATGATGAATCATTACATATTATTAAAGAATTACAACAAATACCAGACAGTAAAAAAACATTTTTAACAGAAATATGTTTTGATGTAGCAATAACATTTGGTAAAAGAACAGAGTATCGTATGTTATATTTTAATTTTAAATTAAGAAAATTATTTTTCTTAAGACATGCAAAAGTACGTGAAGAAATTTTATTTTCATCATTATCACAAGTAGGACTTGACGATAAAATTAAAATTATTTGGAATGATCTTTTTGGTAATGCTACAACTCATTATATTATAACACAATCTTATAGTGATACTGTACAAATATTTTATTTATTAAGAACTTTATCTTTTCATCCTCTTTCTAAATTTTTTGAAGAAGACTTTAAACATGACATCGTTAAAAAAAAATATTCTGTTAAATGTAAAAAAAGAGGTCAAACAGCTTGGGCTCATAGACAAATGATTATTTATAATGGTGAATTTATTTTATTCGGTGATAACCCTCATATCCCTTTAACTATTTGTCCTTTAGCTTCTAAAGTTTCTTTTACTATTCACGCTAATTATATTCTTGAAATTAATACTGCAATCAGAAAAATTATTCTTTCTTTCTCAAATGATCATGAATTAAATATGACTTATAACACTTTAATGACTTGTGAGCAATTCATTCGTCCTCCAGTAATTATTAAAGTTCGTACATTCACATCAAATAAATTGGCATATTTACTTAATAGTTGTAGAGATATATGTATTAAAAATATGTTATATCCTGATGAATGTGTAGAACATTTTGCAGTTTTATGTGAAATCTTACGAGCTATTACAAAAAAACGTTCTGTAACACAAGGAAATAAAAAAGAAATTATGATAGAAGAAGATGAATATTTGAAGAAACCACAAATTGGTAAAAAAATAATATATCCAGAAGATGAATTAAAACAATATTGCTTAACTGATGACCCTAAAAAGTATTATAAAAATTTTGTTTCAGTAGGTAAAGGTGGGTTTGGAGATGTTTATAAAGTTCAAAGAATAGATGAACAAGGGTATGTTGCATTAAAAGTATTAAAACATTCTGTAGAAGAACGATCAGAAAAAATGGGAATTGAAGTTGCTCGTATGAAATTGTGGGATCACCCAAACTTAATCAAAATGATTGGGTGTTGGTTATTTGGTAATCAAGTATTTATTTCGATGGAATATTGTTCATTAGGAACATTAAAAACAATAATAAAAAATCAACCAATGCCATTACAAGATATAGCTTATGTTATTCAATGCACATTAAAAGGGCTAGAATATATTCATAAACAAGGATTTATTCATAGAGACATTAAAACTACTAACATTATGTTAGATGGAAATTATAATGTCAAGATTATTGATTTTGGATTAGTTGTACGTATTAATTCTAACCCATCAAATAGGGCTGGTTCTAAATCATATATGGCTCCAGAAGTTATTAAACAAATTCCATATAACGAGAAAGTTGATGTTTGGAGTATTGGATGTGTTGCTCAGGAGTTGTTTGAAACACAACCCCCATATAAAGAACATGGGGTAATTAAAGGAATGTTTAAAACAGCAGTGTATGGAGCAGAAGGTTTAAGAGATATAACTAAAGCACCAGTTGATTTTGTAGATTTTATTAATAAATGTTTTGTTTTTGAAAGTAAAGATCGAGCCTCTTGCACCGAATTATTAACGGTTTGTTTAATTTTAATTTCCTTGTAGATAAATTATACTCATTTATAGTGTTCATTTTTCAACTTGTCTCATAAGTCTAAGTATTTTCATTAATGTTAGTTTGTATAATTTTGAATTATTCATGTTTCTTTTCATGTTTGTTTCATTTCCTGTAAAAATGATTCAATCATCAGATTTTATCTTGTTTACTCTTAAAGAAACTTTAAATAAGTCTTTTCAAAAAAAAATTAATAAAAATAAAAATGCAAGAGAAAAATGAACTTCTAATAAAAAGACAATGTCAGTTTGCGGTTTTTACTATTTCTGAAATTAAAAGATAACTTATAATTGTTTTTAGTGCTGTGGAAAAGATACAACACAAGGACAAGAGCCAACAGCACTAGATGTTGTTGATGCTGACACAATCTCAAGTAATACTTTTAATGAGTCATCCATCGATTATATTTTTAAATTCATTATTATTGGAGAATTTTCTGTAGGAAAGACTTGTCTCTTGATGAGGTTTCAAGATGGAACTTTCAGAGAAGAGTATGAGTCAACTATTGGAGTTGAGTTTGGAACGAAAAATGTTCAGATTCAAGACACTATAATAAAACTCCGTATTTGGGACACTGCTGGTTCAGAAAAATTTAGGTGCATTACTAGAGGATATTTCCGAGGGTCTGTTGGAGCTATTATTGTTTATGATATTTCAAATAGAAACACTTTTGAACATATTGATGAATGGGTGCAAGAACTAGAAAAATATAACCCAGGCAATCATGTTCTAATGATCATTGGTAATAAGTGTGATTCTTCTCAACGTACAGTTACAACAGACGAAGGTAAGAATAAAGCCAAAGAATTAAATGCTGAATTTTTTGAATGTTCTGCTAAAACAGGGGAAAATATTGAAAAAGCATTCATTACATTGACAGAATTAGTATTAAGAGATGTTAGTTCAGGAAAGATTTCATTAGAAAATAATTAAATAAAAGAAAGGTCTAGTTTATTCAATTGACTCCAAGACATCTCTGTCTTGTTTTGAATAGAATTAATCAAAAAACAATATTTTTAATTTAAATGATTAAGCGAAGAATAATTTTTAAAAGAGGTTTATGTTATTTTTTTTTTATGTCTCAATAAGTTAATTAAAAATAAACTGAAAAGTTATGTTAACAAGTGGTTTATTCGTATCTATAATTCATTAATATTGATTATAAAACAAAGTCTTCAAGATTTAATTATTTGTAAAATAAAATAATGACATTAATAATTAATATCCTTCTTTTGTTAATTTATCATTTAGTAGAATATTATTTAATATATTTTTTATTCTGAGCAATGATTTAAAATAATTATGAATTATTAAAACATATTTAATACTATCAGTGAATGAATAACTAAATTATTTTGTGTTTTACCTTATTCTTTATTTTTGAGAATAATAGTTGTTTCTCATATTTATTCAATTTCAATAAATCATTATTTTCAATAAAGTATATTTGATTAAGTTATTTACTATTAAATTAAATGATGAATGATACAAACCATTCATCATTTAATTTAATTAATCATAGAATTGAACAATTTTCTTACAACTCCAAACAATTTAATGTTTAATATTATTTCTATATTGTCCTTATATTATATTTATTTAATATTTCATTATTTCTTTGTTTGTAATTAATATAAATGAATTGACAATAGTAGTAAATATGCCATAAGTTAATGATGTGTGTCAGTCAGAAAACCATGGTATTAGTTTAAAGAGAAAATGTAATAATTATTTATTTAAAACAGAAAAAAAGGAGCAAAATACAACAAATAAAAGAAAAAGATACAATTAGAAAAAAGTAGTTGGAATTGAAGTTGGTTATAATAAGATTATAATGTGCTTTTCTAGAAGAGGAAATTTGTAGTCGACACATAATTTTAAAACATGAAATTAAATTAGTATTTATCTTTGAAAAATGTTTGAGTGAAATTCAAAATAAAGAAAAAAAGAAGATTATCATTTATGTACCAAATGAAACATACTATGGAATTACAAGAAACATATTAGTAGCAACACCACTTTGATGAATAAAAAATTTTGAGGTAGTTAGTAAAGTAGTTTCATTGTTTTTATTTTTGAAAATCGATAATAACTTAGAAATGAAAATTATGACAATTATTAAAGGAGAAACTAAAGGAGAATAAGTTTATATAAGTTATGGATTTGTAAATAGAAAAAAACATTAAAAATAATTGTAATACTTGAAAATAAAATAATAAGTAATGAAAACCAAGAAAAAGTTAAACAGAAAGATTATAATTATAATATTATTAATTCAACATGAATGTAGAGAGAATAAAATAGTTTCATTTATTGGTAGTATTTATGGAATTACATCAAAAGAAATTAAAAGTTATGGCATCAATGACTTTGAAATAACAAAATAATAAATATATGAAAACTATATTGTAATGCTGCAACTGATGGTTCAAGAAAATAATATTGAGGAAT